TATTGTCACACACATATACTATCATATATTGATATATACTTACAACATATGCTACCAAAATTACTGTTATTATTCTTATAATATTATTACTAAAATGTATCATATGGATTACTGTAAATGAATTATGTTGACCAGATCCCTCCTCAGTTGCTCTGTCTGAGGTTTCCATTTCTTTCCCCATTAAAGGGTTTTTCTGGGGAGTTTTTTCTTATCCGCTGTGAGGGTCCAAAGGACAGAGGGATGTCTTATGCTGGAAAGCCCTCTGAGGCAAATTGTGATTTGTGATATTGGGCTTTATATAGAAAATGAATTGAATTGAATTGAATTGAAGTGGTTTTCAGTACTTTCCAGGTGTTTACATGTCTGTTTGTTTTTCTGTGTCACCGCAATAGTGTCACAACTGTGCAAAATGTAGTAAAGAAACTTTACAGCTGTGTAGCTCACATTACAATGAAGGCTGAGTAGGACAATGGGTGTTGTCTGAGCCAGAAGAAGGGGGGAAAGATGGTAGCAAATTTCAGATCATTTTAAACTAATCTTCATTTAATCAATACATAGCTAAACTAAGTTGGTGAGCACAGGGGGCCCACCACTCACTCCCTGCTCAAGGGCCTGCTTGCGGTAGCAGATTTATCAGCCATGGATTATGCCTCATCAGAGCTGAATATTAAATGTCAGGGAAGTTTATCAGTGCCAAGCATCCTAAAATATCACCCTTATGCACTTTGAAATCATCTTTCTGAAAATATGTTTTCTGCTGAATGTTGCATGACATTTATAAAATAAGAAACAATATGAAATTCATCTTAGTAAAGATTTAGCTTGGAAAAGTCCACTCAAAACCATTTGATTCACTCTCAAAAAACAGATTTTAGTGATACTTGTTGCATTCCTGGGTCAATTTTGTATGGCACACTTAATATACATCAGTGCTTCAATTTTCATATTGAGAAATTGAGAGCTCAGCTACAATGTTTTTGACATAAAACCCTGTCACCCTCCCTATATCAAAGACAAAATGCATCCCTCTGCTATAGACCCCCCTATTATTGTATATAGAATATCCCCATGTGGAATATGTTTAACTTCATTAAAGCTGTTTGAGCACAATGACTTTGGTCAACTAGTATCAAGAAACTAGGATAAATGTGTCATCAACAACTTTAATAATGTTCTCAATGTGACTTGAGGAGGTCTCTTTACTGTGCAAGCAATGCCATAATTACAAATGTTGACCACTAGATGTCCTCAAAGTTATACCAAATTTTGGGACGCTGGCGGAGGAAGAGCATGTTCAAGTGTTGTCAGAAATATCACAACTAACTCTTTAAAGTATGGAGGGGCCAGCTCATATCTGCTCAGAAGCTATATCAGGAAGTCTTTTTTTGGTATCTGTATTTATGAGAAGTGATTATAGGAAGAGGCCACAGAGTCTAATTCTATATGCTAAAAGTGATTCAATCACTGTACTCTGCCACCAGCTTCTTTAATCTTTATCTATTTGGGTCCCTACTTAGGGCTAAATTAGATAATGCAGTAAACATCCTGTGTAGGTCTCTAGATATCCAAAGGCTTGCTGAAAAGTAGGCTATTATGGGCCTTCTTTTTCTCTTTTTTCATAAGGTTGCGACTTTTAAAATAACTATGTATATGGTAAATAAATGAACATATACGTCACTCCATATTTTCCATCGGATCCCAAAATAGTTTTTGAAAGGCAAAAAACAAAACAAAAAAATGACCAAGTGCAGCCCCAGTGCAAAGCTGTCTTGGTCAAGGGATCCTTTTGGTAACCTTGCATGAGGTCACGACAGACAATCCTCACAAAGTAGGCAATTTATGGAAGCAATCTATATTGGTACTTCCTGTACAGACTGAATGGCTGACCCATAGACTGTATGTAAAGATAGACAGAGAGTCTCCACTTACTCCCACTGCACAAATATGAAGCCAAAATAACCCAGAGATGACTGCTGTCATGTTGTGCCGGTGACATCATTTGGAGCCAGAATCAGCACAGTAGCAATCTTGGCAGTGTGGAGTTGCTGCCCATACACCTATCTGACCAATCCTGAGCAGTGCCATTGATGGCAGAGCATACCAACTGGCACACACAGGTGCCAATCATGATGTCAAACCTAATTTTTATAGTATGAAATAATTAATTAAAACTAAGCTTATCGGAAAAATTAACACTTGAATATACAGCAGATAGAACTATCTAATATATTAGAAATCATCTTTTTGAAACATTTATTTGACGTTTTTATTTGAGTTTTTAGTTTGGCTCATGTCCTTGTCCACCAACATGATGGGGGCGAGCTTTATAAGCTTTATGTACTGCAGCCAGCCACCAGGGGCCAATCAAGATGTTATGGCCTCACTTTAATGGAGCTGTCATTTTGTCAATCTTTACATACTGTCTATGGGCTGACTCCACTAAATTCAAGTCTTAACAACTCGTAAGTGAAGAATTCATCAAACAAAAGTTTCCTACGCTGACCAAGATTTAAACCCATACTACAACAACCAGAACATTGAAACCTAAACACTAGATCACCAAAGCCACTATTATTTGGATTTTTAAACAAAGTAAGAACTGTTGTGTAAATGTGGAATAGACAATGTGAAGCTGAAGTCAAGCCGTGTTAAATTTGTTGGATGTGGCGCCATCTTGTGACATGCCTGCTAGGGTGGTCAAGCAACAGCATTTGGACAAACAAATCAAGATAAACAACATAGATCCATACCCCAACAGTGAGAACTATGTCGTTTTTTGACTGAGTGCATACACTTTGGTAACTGAAGTAACAGAGAGCATACCTCACAAGATGGTATACCGTCCCACATGGCATGTACCTCCATATTCTCTAGAGTGCATATGTGATATATAGGTCCCTTATTAGTCCAATGATAGTTGATAAAATTCCAAATGGTTATGGCAATGATCAACACACACCAATGACCATAGCCTAAGGACATCAGTAGCAAAATTCACTTTTGATCACAAATGGAATAAGGCTGAACCTCCAGGGGTCTTTAAGGGACTTACAGGATGTCCAAAGAAAAATGGGGAATAGTTTACTGTCAATTTACAATAGAAGTTTAGTTATTATTTGCAATTTTCCAACCTAAGCAATTCAAATAAACATGAGGAAAAATGAAAATTAATTATAAGGCATTACTTTTGAAGCAGTGAAAAACCAAAGCAAGTTTACGCTGACTGAGAAGGTGAAGCCTTGGCTTCTTGTAACCACTCTTTACATTGACTGTTTTGTGCTCTTCACTTCAGATTTACTCAATACAAATGAAAGAAACAAGCAAAATGTGTACATTATATATACTCCAAAGTGTGGATGGATTACTAATTTTGGGCCTACTGTGCACAGGCCCAGGGGCCGAAAGTGTCAAGGGGTCCCCTGGCCATTACCTGCAAAATATCATTCAAATGAATACTTACCGACCAGGAAGAGACTCAAAATGACCACACAGAGACATAAAAAGACCACATAGAGATGCAAAGGAACTACAAAAAGACACTAAATAGCGATACCAGGAAAAACAAGCACAAGGAGACACAAAACAATGACAAAGAGCTACAAAATTACCCCAAAGTGATACAAAATAATGACAAGGAGACTTATGACCACAAAGAGGCAAAAAAACACAAAAGATACTGACTACAGAGGGACGCAGAGCCACCACAAAGTCTGTGTGACTTGCTCCAGTATAGGAGAGGTAGTGGGGCCCCTATGCATACCTGTGCCCAGGGGACCATTGGCTCATTATATGCCCATGCCCAAAAGTCCCAAAAATGTATGGAGGCTACACACTAGTGCTCATAGCCCTGTTTAAATTTGTTAAAAAACGTATTTTTTAATATACTTTTTGTAAATCTATCAAGTGTATTACACACCCATTGTGCTCAGTGTCAGAGGAGTGACTATTCCGATCATAGGTTTCACTTCCTCTGTGGTTTTCTCAACTAAAGTTTGTTAACAAGAATTCTGGTCCTAATCACTGACAACCAAAATATTTTCAGAATGACATCCCTGAAGCAAAATCATCAAATCAAATGGGGTTCTCTGACCCATTGTGTTTCAATATTAGGGTAGGCTAGTTGCATAAAAAAAGGTTTGAGAACCACTGATATGGGCTAAAACACACATATAAAACAGATGGAAAATGTAGGCTAACAGCAGTAATCTTTAACATTCAACAACTTGTTGATTTGTAGATGCTGATAAAAAAAATCAATCTTAATCAACAATCAAGTCACTGAGACCAATATCTACTTAGCCCATTATGTAATATCTTGCCAAAGGCACACATAAGCCATGTTAGTTATGAGTTTCAGATAAACGCAGGGCAGAGGTGGAGTTAGATAACCCTCATAACAGAAGCCTGTCACCTGTCTGCACTTGGTGCATCATATGCAAATGTTATGAGAGGTCAGGATTGACCAGGAAATAGACCCGCCATTTTCCTTCAAAACCCTCAGTCCATTTAAACGATGATTTAAACCCAGCAGGGGGAGGCGCTGTGAAATACTGGACGGAGTTCAGCGTGGGAACCAAAGTAAACGACAACGAGAGCCGTATCAAGCTAGACACGGTTAACGGTGACAAGTCCGGAAGTGGTATATTGAAGAACAAAATAAAGATGGTGTAAATAATGGGTGGTAAACCGCTTTTGTTTGTTTTACCACGAATGAAGCCTGGGACTAGTCCATAGCTTCATTTGTAGGGAGAGATTATTTGGGATTGAATTTTCAGCGGCACGCCGACATCGCACGTGTGTGTTTGTGAAGATATGCATATATAAATAAACGTACTATTTTATTAATAATAGTGACGGTTTATTTTTGGCACTCTCTAAAAGCGAGGATTTGCTGCTATTTATGTATGAAATTAACACTGAAATGGGTTATCATGGTTGTATTTCATTGTCTTACTTTTTAATTTTTTTCCCCTCAATGGAGCTTTTATTGTGGAAAATTGTATCCGGAAGTAGCTAACATCTATTTTTATTCTGTCTATCTACGGTATGTGAGAAAGACTTGTACGGGAAGAGGAGAAGAGGCTGTAGACGAGAAGGATCGATTATAAGACTGGGTTCGTATCTTACAGTCATTGAAATCTTATAGCTGGTTCGTACTTTAGGTTCAGTCAGTGTCTTTAACTAACGTGTGGGATTTTATCTCTTATTAGTTAGCTAGCCAGCTAGCTTACAAGCGAAATGTAACGCCTCTCGTCGTCTCATTGTATCGTCTCTGTCTCTGTCTCTCTTGTCTCCAGTGTTGTCGGGTGGCACAGAGCCTTTGAAGATCGACACCGTCCACAAAACCCAGGCTATTCCGCTGGATTTGGAAACGTTTCTGTAACGGTGATCGTTTATTTGATCCGATACAGGATGTCTGGACAGAGCATTACAGACAGGATAACCGCCGCTCAGCACAGTGTCACCGGGTCGGCGATTTCCAAAACTGTGTGCAAGGCGACCACGCATGAAATAATGGGGCCAAAAAAGAAACATTTGGATTGTAAGTATGGTATTTATTGCTTGCCGATATATCTGTAGCTGTATTTTCATTTCGGCTCAGCTTTTTTGAATTAACGTCAGAATCTGAATGCTGTGTTTTGGCTATGAGGCCTACATGTAACTTAACGCTAGCGTTAACGTTACATTAACTTAACTATGCTAACAGTTACTCTACTATTACAACTAATACGCGTTTCTACAGACATTCGATAGATACAAATAGTTAATTTTATCTGTAATAGTAGCGAGGCTTACCGCTTTTGGTAGCTGACAATAGTTTGCAAATGACAGTGTTAGCAGCTCGAGTCCTTGTTAATGCTAACGTTAATTCGTTGTAACGCTTTAACATTTTTGTTTTAAATTATCAACCAAAACCTCTAGACAGCTACATTACTTACTTGGGCATTACACATATCCAAATTGTTTAATTCGTGTAAGAAGCCGTGTTGGCTAGCTAGCTCTGAAGAGTGACTTAATGTCAATACAAAATATGTAACCTTAGCAAGTTAACTTAATGAGTTGAAAAGGCTAACTTGTAAGTCTGTGAGATAATAGCCTGACATGTCATGTATCACTTCAATTTGGTGCTTCGGTTCCTCCAAACAGTTCACGTTAAAGTGATATTTCAGTCATAAGAATGACCAGTAAGTCCCACTATCTTATTTTAAAACATAAAATGCAGCAATTAGATATCAGTCTATTCCAAAACATTTATTTTGAAGTAGTGTGATTCACAATGTAATTCTGGCTTAATGAAGTTGGATCCTATACACTCCCAACATTACAGAATGCATACAAGTTAAGTTTTGTATGTTTTTAGGTTGGTTTTGATAATGGCACATACTGAGGCTACAAATACGTGAGCTGTGTTTGTGTTAGGACTGTGTGTTTTTAGTACATGGTATGATAATTGCATCACTTTAAGCTCAGTAGAATATTCTAGGCCAGCAATTCTAGTGCCTGTTGACTTTGTACTTATTTCAGGAAGTGGCTGTGAGGTTGTGGACTTATATAGCTTTATTAAGAGCACACAAACACATACATTTTCAGCAGGGCCACGGCCAGATCTATTGTTACTATCTTTAAGAATAAGGTTGTTTTAGTTTTGAACTGTTATTAATAAAGGAACCTGTCCAGCTGGATGGACAGTCATTCTGTTATAGTGCATTTGGAGAGGTTTTACTGCCAGACAGTTGACATACCTTTGCAGTTTCTGACCTTTCACTTGTGTTGGAATATGTATCTTTTCCCAGACCTCCACGATGCTGTGTGCATGGGGCTTCCAAGTCAAGCAGATCATGTGTATACATTTCCCTGTTTCTTTTTTATTATAAGTTCATACAGCATGCATAGATCACTTGGAGCTTATCAGTTCTAATAGCATTGATGACTGGTTCCCCGGTACCATTTGTTTTTAACCCACTGTACACCAAAACTTGCACAATCTTTCAGATTTATTACATCGCCTCTATTTGTGAACCAGTATCATCAGGACTGTCCATGGACTCTCAGCTTAATAATAGTCAGAGCAGCTAATCAATCTTGTTTCCAGTGTAAAAATAAGTACTCTCAGACAGCTGAGCACAAATCTGCTGCTCCTCTCTGTATAGTATAGTAGAGTACAGAGTAAAAAGTAATCCACATTATATTTTCACATTTTGGCACATTGGGTCTCCATTCCAATTGCTGGTAGAATGTGTAGTCTTTCCGGTATTTGCTAACTGTGTATTACTCATCTTCGTCATCTTTGTTCATATAGTTGATTATCTTCAGGGATAGACTATCTTACATTTTGGCCTACTTCTACTAGCCTTGCCGAAAAGGCACACCAGGCACCAGAACTTGGTAGCACTTTGGTCCACAAGCAGCCAACATGCAGTGTACCTGCTGTGCAAAATTGGTCATCGCAGTTTTATTTGAATAGCAGCCCTCAGTAAGTCTATTGGATACATGGTGTAAGGTTCTAAATGGCATGCCTGTCCTTCACAGAGATATTTATATCTAGATATTATCACATTAGTTGGTTGTAGTTTAAATAGTGGCATATGCAAAGATCCCGGTAGGATGACTGTTGTAAGAAGTTTATGAATATATAAAGTGTGTTTCATCACAGTTAAATTTTCTGTTATATTAACTGATTAAGTAACAAACTGTATATTGTATATTGCAGGCAGCCTCATGGTGTAGAATCCACTTCCTTTTACTTTGTATTTTTAGCCCTGGCTTGAGTGAGGAGTGAGTGCTTGTTGGAACATGTGGACTTTTAAATAACCACACCTTTTTAGCTGATGTAGTATACAGTAATGAGGCCATGTCCCAGTGACCTTGCTGATTCCAGACAAACAGGTGATATGTGGCTCCTCCGTGGAACTGCTGAACTGAAGTTTCTCCCTGAGGTAATCTAGAGACCCACTGCCTAGCAGGAATCTCACTTAGGTTTGAGGTATTTAAAGAGGTCTGAAGGGTGCACTTGTGTCTGGAGTTTCCTGACCAGCCAGATATAGCCCCAATGTGTCTAGCCGCAATTCCTGTGTTCCTCTTGTCTAGGTTGCAGGTGAGATATGGCCCTTTGCACCATCTTCATCGAGTTTGCCTTGGACCACAGTTCACATTCTTTAACACTGGCATGCTAGATAAACTCAGTCACATAACATAAAAGAGACTGTACACTTACCAGACAGCAATAAGTGAAGGGTGAACAAATCACCCTCTGCTGCCAACTTCAGCTTATTTACCTACGTGTTTGTTTAAAGCAAGTGTGAAATTACTTCTGGGAAAATTTGCACCAAGTGGGTTCAATGCAGTTTATACCCCAGCTTTTTCAAGGACAGAACAGACTTTTAGACATGTGGTCTTTGTAGCTCAACAGTTTTGTAATGTCAAGTATTTCCTCTCCTGAGAGTTGGTGTTGAATAGCGGGCAGCCCAAGTGCACGGCAATGATCCGTTTTTTGTCTGTGTTAATTGCCGTTATGCAAAGTTCATTACACACTGCTGTTAAAGTGCTCAAAGGTCTCTCATGAGGTAATGAATATATGTAGTCAGCAGTGTGGTTGCCCTTTGGTACTGCCTCAAAAATCTTGATTCAAGAGGATATTCCCATAGGATTTGTAGGCATATGATTGGGCCCTCTGTCGTGTGGTCTGTGGTGCATTATTTAGAACCTGCAGGTACCAGTGTGTTAATTGATATTGGGGTCACATACTCGCCAATCTTGCAACAGGTTATTTTTTTATCTGCTCTGTTAACAATTTTTTTCATTATTTCTCCCCTGCCTCCCCACCTAGTTAATTGGATATTACATACAAGGCAGACATCCAGAATAGTAGGCCATTTGTAAGCAGTATTTTGTTACTTTTGCAACAGAAAAGTTAGTTAAAGACTGAACACGCACTTTTGTTCATGTTGGGGATTTCTTTTAGGCGGATGTGAAATACAAGTAGAGAATACCACTTCCTTTTGAATATTATGATTGGTTCACATAAGCAAATGTCTCTGAGTGTTCTAAAGCTTTCTGCTCAATGCAGTAATGTGATGACTGCTTTTACTCGAGAGAAAGCAAGAAAGCTTTGCAGTAGTGATACTTGCTCAGCAGTTCTTTTATATCTTTCATACCTTAATAGGCTGCTTGTATGAATCGATGATTGAAGGTTTATTACAGGTTACACACCTCCAACAAGACATTTTCACCACTTCCTGTTACAGGGTGCAAATGGTTTAGCAAACAGTGAGCTCTGCTATGTGTGTGGTCGATATGTGTATATTTGGCATGCTCATTGTTTGTTTCCATTGTTACATCAAGAGCACATTGATGATTGAGACTATTATCAGCTACTTTAAACAGAGGGAACAGTTTGAAACCGAGACCAGTCTGTTGTTGTTTAAAAACATTCCATACATTGATTGGCTTAACTTATCTTGGGAAAGACAATGTGTTTCTCAACTTTCGGTCCATGGGCCAAATCTGGTCTCCATTAGGGTGCCAGGTTTTTTTACTTCAATTATAAACATGGTGCCTGAGTGTATAAAAAAAGCATCAAAGTAGAGTTTGTTTATCAGAAAAAGTGCCAGGGGAGGATCTCCCTGACCACTCCACCAAGGTCTGAATTCAGCTCCGAATGTCCTCAAATCCAAGAAACGCTACTGCATACACTGGACTGCAACCTCTTGGGCTGAAAAATGAAGCCAACACAGAAGTGCCAAAAACTGTAGTTCCTCTAATGGCCTCTTGAGGCTGGCTCCAAGTCAAATCCCATAGATCCCCATGTTGAAGTGCTCAACTTTACTGCAGAAATAAACATGTTTACAGCCTGGTACAAAAACAGTCTTTCTAGGTCTCTATAAATACTTTTCCTGCACTTAGCTGGTTTTATTCCTACCGCTTAGATAGAACTTTTGCGGTCACCATAGGTAATTACACATCGTCGAAAACTCAGATTACCTGTGGTGTACCGCAAGGTTCAATTTTAGGTCCAATTTTATTTTCTATTCATATGCTACCACTCGGTCAGATCATCTGCCGCCACAGCGTGTCTTTCCACTGCTATGCGGACGATACACAGATATACCTCCCGCTGAGACCGGATGACCCAAGAAGCCTAGCTGCTGTGTTAGATTGTCTCAACGATATCAACTGTTGGATGGCCCAAAACTTTCTTCAACTCAGTAACTCCAAATCCGAAATCATACTGTTCACTCCGCCAACCTCCACCAGTCCCATTGAAAATAGCCTTGGTACCCTGTCCGTTAACGTCAAATCCGTAGCCAGAAACTTAGGAGTAATATTCGATCCAGACCTCAACTTCCAACCTCATACCAATAAAGTTGTCCAGTCCTGCTTCCATCAGTTAAGAACTATCTCCAAAATAGTGTTGTCATGATACCAAAATCTTTGTTTCGGTACCAATATGAATTTCTATACTTTTCGATACTCTTTGATGCTTTTCCTAAGGCAAAGTCCTTTTGGACACAAACCTTTAGAACAATAAATAGTAGGGGTGTA